CTATTGCGAAACTTGTAAATTTTAAGATTTTGATCGCAATTTACAAAAAAACTGCAGGGTGAACCCGCAAGAACTTTTTAGATTTGGATTCAGCGTCACTTAATCTATAAGAATATGTAATTTTCTTTTAGTTTAAAGAGGTGTGCAACGAAACTAAACATTTTGAGGCACTAGACGACGGCCTAGTGTGAATATTAGGTGAATATGTGTCATATTCACGGCATATTCACGCTTGGAATACTCTGCAATACTATGCCGTATTCACACTAATATTCCACGTCAGAATACTGTTGCAATATGCGTTTTCTTCTAACCCGTATAGACATGTGAATACCTCGGAATAGGTCGCTTTTCATGCAGTGAATTGTCTGGGTTAATGAATATAGTGTGTTGCCATTACAATCCTTTCTCTTATTTGCGTAACGAGCTTTATTCGAGATATTTGAAATGTGTAATTGGATTTGTGCTGGGCTCTCAGAAACGGAATTGTTCTCGCCCACACTAATCGTGTTCAATTTCGCATCATTTAAACATTGCTCTTGGGTTGCAATTTGCGATGTGATCTCATTTGGCTTTACAAGCTGAGTAGGAGCATCAAGGCCGGAATTATGACCATCATTACTCAAAACTATAGAAATTTCTCACTCAGAACTTTTATTCGACTGCATTGAGGCGTTTAAATTTGCATTTTCCTCTTGACTGGATTCTACATTAGCTACCATAGAATTACCGCTTTCGTTTTCCTCATTACCAGCATCATAATTTGACGCATTACCAGATTGATAATTATACTCGAGTGCAATGTCCTGTGAAGAACACGCTTGAGAGGATAATTCATTAATTACTGCATCATGATTAGTAATTTCTATAGAAGTCTTTTTCTGCCCTTTTGCATAATGAACAATTGATCACGAAAGTGATTAATCTCTTTATTTATTTTACCAATCTCGTTTTGATTTGCCGAAATGCTGTTCGAAAATCTAGATTCGATTATTACAACATCTAACTTAACGCCCTCAAGGTCAGCAGAAAGATCGCAATACCCAGAGTTAGTGTCTTTTTTGTTTATCAAACTTTGCCCTGAGTTTGGAAGTGGGTCAGTAGTTACCGATTTATTCAGTAGGTTGTAAATTTTATGCGTTAGATCGAATAAGCAATTCAGTCTCTCAGCAAATTCAGACATTTCTGCCCTCAAATTTCCGCAGTTTTTACATTGAGGGCTTTCGTGAATAGTCTGAGAAGCACAGTCTTTAACAGCTGTTTTTAGTAGTTCGGGAGCGCTCGCATTATTGTTGGTACCTTGCGGCTCCGCTGTGTTCACTGATAAACTGTCTAACATAGCATCTGTTTGTCTTACTATATGATCTGTATCTAAAACTGTTACCAGAATTTGTTTGAATAGCTCACCATCCTTTCCATGAAGCAATATCGAGTTCTGCTTTCCCGGGTACCAGGTCAAAGTAAAATCAAACGTTGAACTTTTAAACTGCTTAGCATTTCCACCAGGTGATTTCCAAGTGCCGGTCAAACCAATAACATTTTCGACATAATTCTTTAATGAATTAAGGTCACCGGTCCACTTTATACGACTACCAGTATAAGTTAAGTTAGCTTCATCATTTAATAGCTTTATTGCATTCATATCGACGTTCTCTGGTCTGAAATTTGTATTATTGAACGAGTTAAAAAATCCATGACCTTCCGCCATTTTGAAAGTATATTAACTCTTTTTTTCAGCCCCATATTGACCGGGAGGTTTTTACGGAGACAGCCTCTTAAGAGAATGAAATAATGATATTATATATAAATGCATCCAATGTTCAAATAAATGAGATTTAACAATTATTCACGGAATAGTGCAAGGATATTGATTATTCACCGAAACGCAAAGCGTTGAGGTGAGTATCATATACTTGCACTAGTAACCGACACTGAGGTGAACGATTGTTTCAGCATGTACCACAACGAAAATATTTTTAAAACAATTTGCATTCCAGCTTCTGCAATAGTTATAAACTAGAAAATACATGCATGCAGAAACCCTCGCCTTGCTGACAAAACCGTTGTATTTTCCGAACATGAAGTATCTAAAGTAGTTGTCATGGTAACACGATATTTTTTTAAGAATATTCTTACAAATGAAAATCGCCTAAAAATATCACATTTAATTACAAAATTATCAATTTCCCAACATATATATGTTAGGTATGTAAATACAAGCTTCAATTTAAGGTAAAATTCAACCACAAACAATTCACAAAACGTTTTAAAGTGTTCTTTATAAAACTAAACTGCATTTAACTATTAAATGGCTTTATCGATAAACTTTGAGTTTGCAATAAAATGATTTCAAATTCTCGCTTGCAAATAACTTTGCTTTATTTTTTATTTAAAAAATGCAATATAATAAAAAAGATTATATGCTGTCTTGTTTAGTTGTTTCATGTACGCAAAGGCCGTCGGGTTTTAAAGCCATTATAAAATCAATATTTAAAACAAACTTACCTTCGTTAACGTCGGCTCCCTTCATTTAGCTGATTCTTTCGCCCTTTCTTTCTTGAAATTTACAAAATCTTGCAGAAATACGAGCAAAAATGAAGAATATTTGCAAGAAATTTATCAATCATCAACCATAGGCAGCCCAAAACGGCGTGTAGAATGCACCAATAATGCTTCCAAATGTCAATTTGCATTAAGCTCGCCCCCATTCCTTTGTCATTTGTCGCGCGCCGCAAGCACTCAATTTGAAAAGCAGTGTTGATATATATAGATTATACCTAAGGTTGGCAACTATATCTCAACTGACGAATATACCACTTCGGCAGAACGCAAAATACTTCGTATACGTAAATAAAACATGATAAAAAATTATACCACATTGAACTCTGATATTTTTTCTACATACCCGCATATAAATTTTGTTTTCAAGACTGCAAGAAAGATGAAAAATTTGCACAAACGTTTCATGGTCTGATGAAAATTTTGATGTGACTATGCGGGATGCCAAAGGTTATTTCATTCGTCATATTTTTAAAAAAATTATGTGATTCAATTGGTTGAAAAAATAAACAGTTTGTGACGTATTTATAGTAAAAATTTGGTTTCAGGGGGGTTGAACTACAACAGGAAGACTGCTAAAATACAAGATCGATTTTTTTTCGAAGATGAAATGGTGGATTTTAAAAACTTTTTACATCCATCCATAACTTTTATCTACAGCAAAACAACCAGGTAACTTTTGGCTACATGTACACGAAATGTCATGAAATTCTGAGCAATAATGGCGAAGAAAATGTGCTATAAAAAAGACGGCGATATGTAATGCGAGCACGCTTCGTTGTGAAGCTCAGAAAAGTTATAGGTATGAACTTATTTTATAGCGTTTTTAATACTGTAACTGGGAACAATAGGTTGGATCATTTATTTTTCCTAGTAATCAAGTGTTCAGTATTAAATACTGGATCTCTACAGTAGTTATAATTTTAAATAGCTATATAGCAAGAATATTTCGAAGTGAATTCTGTAAAACTGTTTTTATATCACTATAAAACTGTTTTTATATGAAAACAAATTTGCATTTTGGCCTGTTTTATTTATCATCAGTGTAAAGACAGTACGTATTCACAGTAATAGATACAGTCACTAGTTTTTGTTAACTAACGTGTACTTTAAAGTTTAAACTAGGGAGATGTTTAGGCATTTATTATAGAATACATATTAAACTTTCAGAACTTTGATACAAGATTGTTTATATATAAATGCAAAATTCCATGCTGGGATATAAAATAATGCTAGCACTCTTACAAATTGCAGCCTATTTTGTGAACACATTCACTCAGTATTAAACGGAAAAATTTATCCAACTTATTGAACCAAGTTAAATTAAAACGCTATAACTAAATTCACTGCCTATATACACTTTGTCGAGCAAGGTTCACCTCGAGGTTCACAACTCACAACGAAGCTTGCTCGCATTACATATCGCCGTCTTTTTTATAGCACATTTTCTTCGCCATTATTGCTCAGAATTTCATGACATTTCGTGTACATGTAGCCAAAAGTTACCCGGTTGTTTTGCTGTAGATAAAAGTTATGGATGAATGTGAAAAGTTTTTAAAATCTACCATTTCATCTTCGAAAAAAAATCGCTCTTGTATTTTAGCAGTCTTCCTGTTTTAGTTCAACCCCCCCTGAAACCAAATTTTTACTATAAATACGTCACAAACTGTTTATTTTTTCAACCAATTGAATCACATAATTTTTTTAAAAATATGACGAATGAAATAACCTTTGGCATCCCGCATAGTCACATCAAAATTTTCATCAGACCATGAAACGTTTGTGCATATTTTTCATCTTTCTTGCAGTCTTGAAAACAAAATTTATATGCGGGTATGTAGAAAAAATATCAGAGTTCAATGTGGTATAATTTTTTATCATGTTTTATTTACGTGTATGAAGTATTTTGCGTTTTGCCGAAGTGGTATATTCGTCAGTTGAGATATAGTTGCCAACCTTAGGTATAATCTATATATATCAACATTGCTTTTCAAATTGAGTGCTTGCGGCGCGCGACAAATGACAAAGGAATGGGGCGAGCTTAATGCAAATTGACATTTGGAAGCATTATTGGTGCATTCTACACGCCGTTTTGGGCTTCCTATGGGTAGGGTCGGGAAACTGGAAACCCACATATTTTTTTTTTTGGCCTTAGCCTGAGGATGGATAGTAAACTATCCGAAACGTAGCTAAAATAAAAATATTATCAAAAACCTCTTGTGTGATCCTTGATTTAAATTAAAAACACAAAATTATTTAATATGAACAGAAGTGAAAGTTTCAGAAAAGCAATTATTACTGACAGCAATAAAATTGCTTAGCACTCATTCTTGAGCTGAAATTCAGACCGTGTTGTTGAGCCGGCTGCATCATAGATCTTAAGCTCTCTATTACACCACTATTTCAACTTGTATTAATTTGGAAAATTTCAGTTTCATGGTCCCTCAATTACTTGATTAAGTCTCATGTTGCCACTGATCACAGAAAGTCTATAATTTTTAAAGCATATGATAGCATTTTATGAGCAAACCAGAAAATGACAAAGTTTTTGTCAACTATAAAAAATGAAAAGTTTGTCAGTATTTGGCTTTGTTGCATCAGTTAAACATTGAGAAGATTGAGATGGCTTTTATTACAAACCAAACCGGTTACTTGCAAATAAGGCACACAACTTTATTAGTTTTAATTCAGTTTTCTTTTAGTCATCTAGCTTTCAATTTTCGGTATTATTTTGGAGTATGTTTTCAATATTAAAAGATTAAGAACATTGATAAACATTTGTCTCATCATAATTTGTATTTTGAACTTATCAAAGTGCATTGGGAAAAAGTAAACTTATGTTCCATCTAAATCTTCTCTTGTTTAAGTGGACTTTCTGTGTTTGTTGAAAGTTTGGAAAGTTCATATGAAAATTACAATGTTTCTATTAATGTTGATTTGGATCTTTATTCGAGTCTTCAAATATTGAATCTTACAAAAAACAATTAATGATCAATTGAAATATACAATACTTTTAAAATTAGCACTGTTGGAACTGTCTTGTTGTTCAATAGTGAATAGTCCTGTCTTTGATTATTCCTGGACACAAATAAAATGGATTTGTTGAGGAACAAGGCAGTTCTGTACAGTACTGACTTATAGGAGGGTTGTGTTTTTTTCGTTCTTGTGCCAACCACATTGTGGTTTTCAACACAATTTGAGTTTCGGAACAAACCTTGTGATTTTTAAAAACTTTCCCAACTTTAAAACAAACACTTAAGGTTGAAATAAGCTAGGGTATTGCCTTAACCTCATTACAAAGCGGAACTTATTTGAATATGGATGAACTGAAGCTCAGCAAACTGTACTTAATTTGGGGCTAATGTGAGTTGGAGAAAATAAAAGAAAATTGACTGTCATGCATGGCAAGGAAAACCACAACCAGACTACAGGATGATTTTCTTTGGAAAATGTTTTGTATTATAGGGAAGAATAAACAATCAGTATTGAAAAGTATATATTAATTGTTTAGTAAAGCAATCCAATAATTGGAATAGTGAGGCTGAAGATAAGATCGACAGTTTTTTGTGCTACGTGGTAATCAATGCATCATTTGATAACATTTGAATCAATATTCAAGCAGGGAATTAACCATATTTATTTCCTTTATACCAAACATACATAACTACATGATTGTAGTAGACATACAGGGACACTGCAACAGCACATAGCTACCAACTACTGTGGACAATTTGAATTAGTATTCATCAAAATGTGTGTGTGTTTCCAAGCTGTTTCATCACACATAAGAGGCAATCACTGAGTTGCTCTTTGTGTAAAATTCTTTTTTGATTTAAATAATCTGACCTGCAACCCCAATTTATTAATTAGGTGTGAATTTTTTTAAGCTTCAATTTCAAATTTTTTTTCGAATCAGATTTATAATTTTTATTGGCTGGTTGTGGTTAATAATTGTTTGGCAATTAAAATTGATTTTGTTAGTTTTCTATGTTTACATGTATTTCTTTTGCTTCAGTTCAACATTATATTCAAATAGTTCCACTTTGTAATGGTGTGTTATAATAGTCATAATAATAATATAAGCAAACAGGTTTACATGGCACTCGGACATAGTCTTGGTATGTAAGGTAAGTTTATACTTCAAAAAGGTCTGTTTTAACCTGACAAGAATGCTGTCCAAAATTAACTAAAACTCGATCTTTGTGATCTGTATTACATGAAATTTCATATGTTGAATCGACAACACTGCATGAGCGACTACCGTATATGTCTTTTGGTGTTTGTGTTTGGTTTGCTTTAATGTTGATACTAGAAATTGATGAAAATGCAATATAATATTCCGAATGTTGAGAGAGATTCTAAGGATTGAATGGAAACTGATTGTTCCTTGTGAGGACTTGGGAAAACTGTTTGTCTTCTGTTGAGACTTGAGTTAAAGATCGAAGTATACTCAACAAAAATAATTTCCTGTTTTTATTACGCAAAACAATAAGCTTTTTTTCTTTTGGTTTTGACCAATATAAATAAAAGTGTAAAAAAATAAGAGAATATTTTATGAACATTTGAAAGTTTGGTTCAACCATATTTTGTGTGTTTCTGTACATGTTTCGCATCAAAAATATTTCCTGAGCTTTTTTTTTAAATATATATAAATAATATAAAACAGAACAACTTTTGAATTCCCAAAGTGAAATTCAGGAAATGTTTGTAAAGTAGTGGATCAATGACAATGTGTATCATTTTATTGTAAAAATTCGAAAAATCAGAATTGGAGAAATAACATTCTTTTAAAATTTTGTTCAACTGCATTTTCATCACTTGAATTAGTATTAACATTATATATAATCAATTCAAAGCGGTTGTCAGGTTAAAAATGACGCTCAAAGATATATGGCTCCGAAAGACTGCAGGATAATTTCAAATTCTTGATTTTGCACTTGAAAGAAGTGTGGTTCAATTGAGTGTGGAAACCATGATCTAGTTGTAATGTTTCGATGTTTAAAGATATAATTTCTGAGTTTAATGAAGTATGTTGTCAATGACAATGCATTGTCAAAATGTTAAGGCACTTTGAGGAAATTAATTTGCTTCAAGAAATGGAATTTGTTGTCAACGACAATTTCTTGCCAACCACTTGACAACTGATCTGGCATTACAACGAATGGACTTCTCTTAGCATCTAAACATCGCGATAAAATCATTTTCCATACTCAAGCGAAAATTTTGGTCACTTTACCAAAAATAGTTGGTTCGTATCCAAAAAAGTAAAAGAGCATGTTCGATTTACTTTGTCTTTGAGCCATATATTTTCTTTGTAAAACAACCTGGTGTTAAGCTTTTGATTTCTCCGTCAAACTCGTAAAATTTATCATTGTTGTTTTACAATATTTATTTTGAAGTATAAACATTATCTTGAAAAGACCAGGTTCTCTTGTTTCCCAAGAATTGACTTTTTTAATGTTAATTCGTGGGCAAACAAGTTTTTTAATGTTGTGTTTTCACTTGTGCTTATTCACTTGTGTTAACCACAATGTTAATTGTTCTCTTTGTGCCATGTTCTGTTTTCTTCTATTGTTATTATTTAAATAAGTATGCAGTGGTTGTTCTCTTTTTATTGGTATTCAATTTGTAATTACAATTCTTTTCAATAAATTGTTCATTAATTATACAAGAGACTCCTTTTTAATTAAAAATTCAATTCCCATGGGAATTGAAAAAAAAAATAAAAAAATTTTCCCTACCCCGGCCGGCTCCCCAAGTGCTACCTCTACTTCAAGTAGAAGTACTTCTACTATGCAGTAAAAGTACTTCTACTTAAAGTAGAGGTAGCACTCGGAGAGCCAGCCGGGGTAGCGGGGCAACGAGAAGACCAACCTAGCAAATGCTAAACAATGCAAATTGCTAAGTCGATCTTCTCTTGAGAGCAGCCACGCGCATACCTAGCAAATGTAAACAACAAGCATTAGTAACAAATACTCGGCATGCAAATTTTGAATCCCATGGCCGAAATGACAAGTGCCCCCCACTGATTCCTACCAACTGCCTACCTGCCTCAGTCCTAAGCTGTCTGCCTCAGTCCTAAGCTGTCTGCCTTGGTCCTAAGCTACCTGCATTCCATTCGTAACTTCCGCTTTCCTCACCATCACACAGACACTCACAACTGCCCAACCTGCCACCAGCCCGAACTGCCCACCCTTAAAACTGAAGGAATTAAAATTTTGGTAAAGTATACATAATTAATTTAATTAATCGGATATTTTAGGCCAAACGTAAACAGATAAATTGAGAAAGACCGCGTATACAAACAGGTGAGTTTCTTACTGGCCTCTTAATATACATGTAATTTACATAGAAAAATATACGAAACCTCGAAATCCGGATTTTTCGGTTTTTCCTTCTATATTACTTTACTAGCAGACTATAATTTTAGTTTAAATAACGAAACTGAATAGATTTTGCTGACGTTAGGAAATTAGTCCTTTTGTTCCGAAAGATATTTTCTTTTTAAATATGCTCTCAAAATTTTAATTCCTTTAGTTTAGCCTAACCCCATGCATCCTACACACACGGCGCACACTCTCGCACTCCATACATTTAGCTAACAAATTACGTTATAAACAAAAAAGCGAAATAAAAAGATAAATTACGTTATCACTAGCTATCCTATAACCCACTTAGACTGAGTTTTGGATTCTGGTTCGAAACGTAAAATCTTAACTGAAAGGGTCTGGGCTTGAGTTTTGTTAACTGGTCCGAAATAAATATATACAAACCTTAAACTTACCTAAACCAAAGGCTCGATTAAATAAGCATGAGAATGCATAGAATCATTTTAAAAACTTTTTCATGAGAATTTAAAATCCAAATGAAAATTACAATATCGCTAGTTTAGTGAGCATATAGTATTGTTTCTTTATATAGTTCAAACAGATCGAAACAGACTTAACCGCAATTCTCATACTCATTTAACCGGAACGCCTTGATGACATTTGCATGGCACGTCGCAGCTGCTCTCAAGCACTTCCGTAATTTGCTTTAGCGCAGACAAACAAGATACTTATCATATAATCAAAGAGGATTCATTCATTATAAAGTCAAATTTCCACTATGAAATCAACATCAACATGAAAACAAAGCATATATATTCCCCTGGGAATTGAAAATACGGGAAAAAAATAAAATTGCAAAATACCTTTACGCTTGCGCAAAATAAAAACAAATTGGCATAAAAACAAAGTATAGTATATTCCCATGGGAATTATTAAACACACGGAAAATAAATCCACCAGTTCTTAACTTTTTAATACTTGAAATACTAAGGGTTGCTTGTTTTCATCTTATGTTGATTCATTGTGAATACAAGACTTATCCCATAGTTAACAGAATATAAACATGGATAGGGACCGCATCCGCGACAGTGATTTTATTATCAACACCAGCTTACGTCTTACGATGAAAAGAGGAAATGCTTGTTGCTAGATTCTAAGCCATGTTTATTTTACATTAACTATATGGGTGACGCGGATTAATATTTTGATTTCAGAAAAGACTACAATCGAAAATATTCCAGGCAAGATTTCATCCTTTTAAGGTATTGTTATACTTCGATCTTTTTTATGCAAACATTTCTCTACTATCAATTTTGGAAATTTTTTTGTTGTTTTCAAAAAACTTTTATGAAATGATACGTCACCATACAGACTCTAGCTCGTCGCAAAAACATTGCGTTATCGTGTTTTTGAAAGCTTTATTCAAACGTTTTATCTGATTTTGAGGGCAATTATTTCTATACTCCGAAACTGGAAAACAAAGTCGAAAAAAATCGGCAAACTCGTAGCATGCTTATAAATTTTAATGAGAAAATCATTGTATTCACTTGAATCCCCTTTGATCTTTAAATAAGTATTCTGTCTTTAACTAACTTACATTGGTAACATTTTCGCTACTTTCCTATTATTTTCCGATTGTTGCGAATCGTGATTCTTTTCTTGTCTCCATGCCATTTGTGAGTGGCTCTTTTTGAATTTTGGACTTTTCATCGTCTCTTTTCATCACATCAACTGATTTCATCACATCACCTTTTGCTGGAAATTAAAAAGTATCCATGAGTCCATGAAATATGATCGAATCATGTTAATTAAAGGTATTTGGTAGAAAAGGAACTTAATGAATAATATCTACATGTAAATTGCCAGGATTTTTTTAACAGATATTCATGCAGTCCTCCAATATTAAGGGCTTCGGCCCCAATTCAACGGCATTATTATCCCATAATCAACAATTTCAAATTGCGTGGTAATATTAATTGATCATTTGAAACATGAAATATTTAACAGTTATTCTACGAACTCGAGTCGAATATGGGCTGATAGCGCCGAATTGGCTATCGCTCATATTCGACGAGAGTGAGTGCAATAACTGTTTTATTATATACACAAGGTCTGGATATGAGGTATTCTGCAATCTTATTGGTTCTCTACTTGCAGCAGGATATTACTAGTCCATATCCTGCTAGTAGAGAAAAACAAAATGGCGGCTCAAACTGAATTTCCGACGTTTTGCGAAGAGAAAACGGCAATTTGTTCCCTTTTGATATAGCCTTTACACGATTAAAAACACAATAAAAAAAACTCCCACAAATTGTTTACAGGTTGGCAAATGAATTCTTAAAATGGCTAAAAATATATATTTTTGAATAAATAATCGGCCGAAAGAGCGAAGATAAATACATAAACAAAATAGAAAAATATTGAAAATATCCGAAAAACGAAGTCTGTGAATTTAGACCTTGTGTA